TGGATTTTGTCATCACTCCACAGGTGGTATGCCTGCAGCCACAAGTGGTAGACCCAAGGGACCTTGATTCTTTCCCGAGTCTTGTCCTCTTGCCAGAACTTGGGGAGGGCTTAGCAGGCAACTTTGAGTAAATAACAGGCAAGTATAGTTTCGACAAATGTGGGTTAGGTATGATTTCAATGGGAATGCTTTTCTTGGATCAGATAGGCCTGATCTACCAGGGTAAATGGGTTCTAATCTACCTGTTAACAAATAGAATTGGTTTAAGTGTTGAGAAAATAACATTTTTTTCCATTTTTTTTTTCTCTTTTTGTTGTTTTGGAGGCAGGGTCTTGCTTATGTAAGCCCAGACTAGGCATGACCTCAGAGTCATCCGCTCTCATCCTGTCATGAATGGAAGACATGATGTAAAATGAAATACATCAGACACAGAAAGACAAATACTGTCTTCTCACTCATAGGTAGAAACTAAAGATGTGAATCTCGTAGAAAGAGAGTGAAATAGAGAACTAGAGGCTGTACGGGCAGGGGATACAGGGAGCTTAGGTAATGGGGACCAAAATACAGTTGAGAGGAGTACGTTTTGGTCTTTTGTATCCCAATAGGTGACTGTAGCTTCCAACAATATGCTGCCTATTGACCAGGCGAAAATGTCCACTTCTACTGCTATCAGTGGCTTATCTCTACCCAAACCCACCCTCCTGACACTGCCACCACCATGACCACTTCTTAAGTGTGCTCTTCTACTGTGTTTCTGGCCTCTTGGTCGATTGTAATTCTGGGATACAGCCTCTCCCTGGGCCCAAAAGGGCTTTTAATGGGGTTGTGGGAAAAAAATTAATAAGAAAAGTTCCTTTCAGTTAACACCCTTTACCTCCAGATGTTAAAATAAAATACCATGTAGCCAATAGCTACAGCCTTGGACTCAATGTTCTCAAGACCAAGCAGAGGAGTCAGCCCCTTTTGAACCCAATCTCCTGGCCTGGGGCACAGGAGTGCTTTAGTGTCCTGGTTTAGAGAAACAAGCAAGCAGAGATTTCCTGCAGTGGCATGCCTGCAGACCCATCTTACCCTGAGGTCAGAAGACACCACCTCTGCAAGCTGAGTGGTGCCCAGAATTTATGGACTTCTTTGGAGTCTGATATGAATCTGGGACCTGGGCCAGACAGTTTCATTGGGAAAATGTGGACAATTTCCACCTCCCTCCTTTCCTATTGCTGACTGTATGGTTCTAAAGTGAATTATGATTTAATCTTTTCTGCTAAAGGTATACAAAATGTTGGTTGCAAAGAAATAATGAAAACCATTTAAGTAAAAAAAAGGAAGATGGTTGATATTACAGTAAGAGACAAAACTCTGATCATAACCACAGCAAAAAGCTATAGAATAATCCTTGTCTGTGCACCAAATGGAATGAAACCGATTAACACACTATTTCTACACACAATCAATGCAGCCTGTGCTTTTATAACCATGAGGTATTCATTTGACAGAAAGACAGTTCCACTTGAATGCTCCTGGATTTTTAAAAAAATCTTTGGGTCATTAGATCAGGAACAGGTTACTCCAAAGTCCTTAAAGGTCCATGAGAAATGAACTGAACCTTCATTCCAGGGCTAAGTAAATATACTCCGTGGGGATTAGAAGTCAGTTACCCTTTGGTTGATGGCTCCAACATAGAAGAAGTTCTCCAGGGAGGGAATGGTATCCAGCTCCATGTTCACCTTGCTTTTGAATTCTTTCTTCTAGAACAACTCACCACCAGTTTTCCAGGCCGTAGTGTATTGACATTAAGGTTTATTCTTCTTGCAGCACAGAGTTGGAGAAGTAGAAGTGAGAATCTGTTATTACAGGTTAAATTGTGTTACACTCAATTTGCAGAGAGGGTCTAGCTTTTTTTTTTATTGTACTTCTGATTTTGTTGTAATGACTATTGCCTAAAATAAATGGGCAATCGACAGGGGCTTAGGGATGCCTAAGTGATTTTTATAATAGCAATATTTGTTGTTGCAGAATTTGACCTGTATTCTGGTTATTAGTTTTATTCATCACATTGAAAACTTGGCATGTCTACTGTTCATGCCATTATATGCAAAGCACTGTAGCATGAAAGTCACTTATAAAGCTAGGGGAAAAAACTCTCTGAACACAAGAGGCTCACGGGACAATGAACTCTCAGTTAAGTGGATGTACATTTTGTTTAGTTAAATGTTCTGGATTGTCAAACGTTTATTCCTTTTAAGCCCAAGGAGGTTTTTCTTTCTTTCTCTTTCTACCATCTGTTATAAGCATTTAAAAATATTTACTGTACAAATACTTGCCTTTGAGCATCGTGTGTGTGTGTGTGTGTGTGTGTGTGTGTGTGTGTGTGTGTGTGTGATGCTCAGTCATTATTCTGAATAGGACAGTGAGACTCCTTTGATACAAGTGTCCTCTATAAAATGAGGTTTGGCAGCACCCTCCCCGTCCACTTGACATTGTCTTGTCTACTGCTGTCACTCCGTTCCTTGAATTTGGTTTCTCTGGAAGTCTTCTCTGTCCTTAAATTCAATCTTCTGTAGACTTGGAAACTAATCAAATATTTACAATTGCTGGAGGAGAACAGCGGTTCTGGGTCGGTGCCCCATGTTTGGATGTATGGCCTCTCTTGGACGTTTGCTTTCTGGTATTTATTTCCACTAGGTAGGAGGCTTGGCTGCTTACTTCTTAGTTTTCAATCATTTTTCAGTGGGTTGCACTTCTGCTAAGGTTTCCTAGTTGCTTCAATTACTCATTCTCAAGCCATTTGTTTGGATTTCATGTTCAGGAACCACAAATAAATGAAGTTATCAGATGGCTGAACCTAGATGAATAGGTAGCAACTGAAACCTCAAACAGCATGAAGATTGTGATCCATTTTTACATGGTGAATGGCATACTGTGGCCATCTCAGACACAGAACTGTAAAACAGATAGCTTCTTTTGCCACCCATTTCCAAGAATAGGAAGCAGGACAACATCAAGCTGCTGGAGACATCTTCATGATGCTTAATCAACCTACAGGCTCTGTGTCAGAGCTGGCTGACATTGGAGAGTCTAAGTCCGCAGTCAAGACAGCACTGATGTTGTCTCCTGGTGATTCTATTACTTATGGCCTTAAAATGAAGGAGGCAAAGCAAGTCTAACAGTTCTCTCCTTCCTAAAGTGCAGCTCTGGGTCAGAAGAGGATTGCAATGCTGTCTTTAGTCCTTTCTTCACTGTGGTTTTTTTCCAGGCTGTACAAAGCAAGGGCTAGCAAAGGCCTAATTTATTTGCCCAAGGCTGAACTGTGTGAAGGGAGTGCCAGGGGTAACATGATGTTATTTATCAACACCAGGTGGAGTCAGTATAGTTAGGAGTGAAGAGGAGACACCATAGTCTGACAGCCCAACTATTTAAATCCTGGCTCTCTGCTTATTAAAATATACCTTGGTTATAGTACTTAAGTCTCTAAATATGATCTCTGAGCAATAAAATAAGAGACAATAGTATTAGTGCTTTGAGAATTAAATAAGGCAATGTGAAAAGCAAGGAGGAGAGTCCCTGGCCCAGACAAAGAGTTCACTAAACAGTAGCTCTTACTGTTAACAAAAATAAATGTTTTAACACTGGAAATCTCAATATTTAACAAATAGCCACTCAGTGCAGCCACTGAGTGACTGCAAACAGTCTTGTTTCTCATCTGTTTGCTGTAACACCGTGCTCACTTACTGACAGGCTGGGAGCCTGATTTTTTGTTGAGCATATCTCACTCTGGCGCCTTGTGAAGGCCAGGAGATATTCCAGACAAGGTGCAATTTCACTTTTTTATGAGTCTAAAGGAAATGAGGCTCCATGTAAGTAGAATCAAGAAACGATCGATTAAAAAAAGGAGCTGTCTAAAGGAAAGATAATAAAATGAGAAGGACTGGGACAACAGGAGGCAGAATTGAGGTACTGGCACCAGGAAGCAGGGATGAAGACCTTCCAATACACTGTGGTTTGAAAGGCTGGAGAATGTCAAGAGCTACAGCGCCTGGCAACGCCCCCACTCCACCCCCAGCAGCTGGGGAGGAAGTGGGACATAGCGATCGCTCCAAGAGACAGACAGTCTTCTGTCCTGGGGCTGGATCCCAGATTGGCTTATTGGGTGACCTTGTGAAGACCAGGAGATACTCCAGACAAAATGCAATTCACTTTTTTTTTTTTTATGAGTCTAAAGGAAACGAGTCTACATGTAAGTTAAATTAAGAAACGATCAATCAGAAAAACTTTCCCCAAAGTTCCCGTACCATGTAGAGTTAATGAAGACATATTTGATAGAAGGAAATTATAGCAGGGTTGACAAACATAGGTGAAGTGGCTTTTAGGATTTTGAAACATTAAGTTTTATGCTTTGGGAAGGTTTGCCTTTTCAGGTCTGCATAGTTCTAGCATCTCTGATATTCACAGTGGCTACTGAAGGCTGGAGTACATGACTCCAGGTGTCAAGACAACTGCTGAAGCCAGACTGAAATGAGCTTATTTACAACTTCATTTGCTCATCAATTATATTCAAGTAGGTACCTTTAAAGTTCCACAGAGATGGCTCTGCTAGCTTAACTATAATTTGTTCAAGGTTGGTTTTTACTTTTAAACAACATTTGTCAAAAACTGAATTTTGATCTTCCTTCTAGTTAATCAAAGTTGTAAAGCTGTAAGTGGTATTTGAAAAGACCACAGGAGTGAATACTGCTTACCTTATAACCTACTCACGGATCAAATCTAATCTAATCTAGCCATTGTTCACTTGGCTTGGTTCTAAATACTAACACTCTCCGGTCTACCCTTTGCCACCATCCAGAGGTCTCCTAAGGCACTTTAGGAAGTCAGGAGTAAATTAGGTCCCCAAAGCTAATAACACCAACACCATCATCTCTAGCATTGCCACAGCTAAGTATGCAGATCATCATGAATATTTACACCTAGCAGGGTCTTTTGTGCACAACTCTGAGAGACAAATGGTATTTCCAGTAATAGTTTATTGATTTCCAAATGCACAGGGGCGCCAAGTCTGAACATCCTGGGATAGCAGTAAATCTCTCTTACAAAATAATTTACAGTATGAAAATGATATACTGAAACATCAACTCAGATATGCAATTCCCTTGAAAGATTGAGTGTTCCCTTGTTTAGTGGAAAGGGTGGCAGGGGACGATGACTATGGAGGGAATGTGACTGTGTACACGAAAACAGGCAGAAGACAATGGATTCGTTGGCTCTACCCACTCACGCGTTGTGGCTTGTCACTGTAAAAAGACTGGTCAAGTTTAACTTCCATAAAGGATACATCAATGGTCCCCTCAAAGTCACATCAAGTCCAGCATGGACTCTGGCTGTTTCTCCACCAGTGCGCCTCCAAATGTCTTCATTTATTTTCACTTGCCTGCTCTGGCCCCTAGTTCTGGTGTTTCTGGTGTGTTCTCAGCCTCACATTACGTAATGTGAGACCAAATGATCGAAATGATCTCCTGTTTTCCTGGGGAATACCCAGCTCCTGTGGCTCCTGGAATTCCATAGGGTGGGGGCCTCAGAAAGACTGCTGGGGTGAAAGCAGTGTCAGTGAGATCTGCAATTTCCCTCTGGGCCTGTTCCCTTAGGGCAAGGCTGGACTTGATTTACAATGGGATTTTTGTCTTTAAAAAACAAGCAAACAAAATTCTAAATGTGCTCAGCCCACAGTAAACATGCAACCAATTTACTGAAAAGCATGTACTGAATAGCTATTACATGAGAGCAGAATGTCAGGAATCAGCAGGACATTTTCTCTGTGGGGAGATAGGACTTCCGAGACCTCTGACTACTACAAGGTTATAAATTCTGCAGCTGTACACTCAGGCCCAAATGGAATGACCAAAATGATCCAAGTCACCAAAATGACAAGGCATCTAAATTTCCCATGTTATTAGACATGGTGGAAAGGGGTGGGGTGCAATTTCCTTCCTGGCTGTCACCTTGGCTCAGTGCTTTAAAAGTTGACACCTACCACTAGGGGCTATTCTGGAAAGCCAGCAAGCACTCACACTCCAATTATCTGCTGACATTGTATGGACTTAGAAGAAACCTTTGTGGTAGTATATAAAATCAGCAGGGGCAGTTGTGAGTCTTTCTCATTTAACTCTAAAATAATTAAGCAGTATGGTATGTGCACGTGTATATAAATCTCACTCTCATTTACACACACACACCAGGAAAAGAGTCCAAAGTCGGTGATTTGAATTGGCACCTTCTCATAGAGTACAGAACATGGTAGCTGGGTTTACTAAAATATGAAGATTTGCTTTTCTATAGCAATAAAGAAGGAGATATTGAAGACTGCTGTCACCTTCACACTGAATACCACCTTTTTTCTTTTGTAGGGATAGCACTGAAAAGAAAAGGCTCCCCATCTCCTGGAAGGGGGAAATTTCCTCATGTTAATGATGAGTATTTAAAACATCTACTAAAGCAGAGGAATAAGGTCATCTTGATGTCTCTAAAAGTAGTTTATAATGTGAATGAGCATATTGCACTCGGGAACTGAAAGCCTCTTCCTCTCTCTGAATCTGGAGGTGAGTCATGGTATAGGGCAGAGGGCTGACTGCAGAGCAGGGAGAACCATGTTTAAAACTGGTTCCTGTGTTTCCTAGCAACTACAGACATGTGGCTTGCCCTGGGTAGATCTACAGAGAGCTTGGCTCACAGCCTGTCCTCAGGTACTTCCTTGTCCTGGCTGTCCAGCTGAGAAGTCAAACACTTCTTAGAACTGTCCAAATCAAAGACCAAATCCCTCTAAGTACTCAGAGGCTGCCAGTACTTCCTGTGGGTACCCAATTCATTTCTGGAGATGTTCTTTACCTGAATCACGTGATGATTTCTCCCCAGAGATCTGGGTAAACTCTGTTGTCCACAGTCAGTCAGGATACACAACTCTAACTCACACTAACCTGGAAGGCAGGAAGCTTCCTCATGATGGGGCACAAGGCCAAGCAGCAGGGCCTAGCTCGGAGAATGAAGCTGGCGCCACTGCAGAAGGCATCCTACATCTCACACTGACAAATGCAGCCACAGGAACTTTGGGACCTGGGAAGAAGCTGCTGTGTTGTGTTTGATGCTTTCCTGGTTAAAGTTTCATCAGGTGCTGGAGACAGCAGGAGCCCAGAAAGCAAATCCAAAACTTGTTCAAAATAAAGGGGAAATGTTTTCCTTGAGGATTCCGGACAGATAATTTATAGAGACAGGTTGGCAAATATTTTTATATTTCTGTTTATAACCACTACATAAATGCTTGGATTCCCCAATACTGATATAAAGTAATAGCATGATTAGGTATGGAAAGCCAATGATCTGTCCATTGGTAATACAAGGTCAACATATAAAGATCAAACAATGATTACTGGGGAAAGACAACACAAGCTTCCAAATTCTGAAGTCTTTTCAATCTTCGGATTTTCCATATTCGTTTTAGAGTGTTTTTGATCCTTCTTTTAGAATTTTTTTAAACAGGATATCATTGGAGGTTATTAACTCAGGGTGCATTAAATTCTCCAGTCTTTGCAGACAGATGGTAAAGCATCAAAATTGTCTAAGCCACCTACCAGTCACCAGTTTGGGAATGAAATCTTCAACACCTCTCTGCCCTAATATCCTTATATGTGTAGTGAGAGCTAGGGTAATCCTAACCTAGAGCATATAGGCTTGGCAGTTTCCTGTCCTCAAAGGAATAAATCATTTTCTAGCATGCACAGGATTGAACAATGATATAAATAGGACTCCTACAGTAAGCACAGGTTGTTTCTGCCTCAGAACTATCCTGTACACACACACATCAGCTGCCCCTAAAGCTTTGTGATAAGTACACAGGTTATAGGCAGGCAAGCAGACAGGCAAGAAAAGGGGATTTCCCCCAAGGCAGACTCCGTGGATCTGCCTCAGAGACACTGGAAACAGACCTTGGTCAACAGCAACCCCAAGGCTGCTTGAATACAGTTCAGACAGAATCTCAATGGGAACATAGAAATACCACACAAGCAGAGGAGAGGGAATACACTGCCCAATTGCAAACAAGAGTTACCTTCCAAGTCTCCTATCTTCTCTTAACAGTTGAAGTGTATGAACATTCTCTTCTCTGACTTGTTTTTCTATTAAAAATAAGGTTCTCCCCGACTTCAAATCATTTGGTAAGAAAAACTCATGTCTCAACAAGATGTGGTGTGTGTGAGCTTGCAGTTGGGTATCTCCCAGCACACCACTGTTTCCTTGACCCTGAAAAATGTGGTTGTAAGGAACTGTGATCTGAGAATGGGAGAAGGCCAGGAAATCCAGCTCTGGGGCATGCCTGCTCATACTATATCAGAGAGGAGAGCTGGGGTATGGGAGGTGGACTGAAGGCCTGCTGCAGGGGGAGGGAGGATTCCAACTGTAGCGAATAGAGGGAATGTTTGCTGGCAGATGGACATGAATCCAGCCAGTCAGCGAGTGGCAAGGATTCTCCTCACAGAGCACTGAAGCCACCTTAGGCTTACCTGGGGGTGGAACTGGTACATTTTACAGTGACAATTCCCACTTGGCGATACACATGCCAGTCTTCTATGTTGTGACAGGCCTATTAATCCATACAGCTAGCCCAAGAATTCAGGTTTTATCAGACACTTTAGTGGCCATTTTGGAAAATTCGGGCAATCTGAATTCTGAAACACTGATTTCAACTTTCGATCAGATTTCTTTACTCCTCCCCCTCCACACTCCTTAAAGTCATTTCCTTTCTATCTCTTCAATCACTTTTTCCATTTCCACAGCACTGAATTATGAATCTCAAGTCCCAGATAACCTCAAGTACTAAAAATATCTTCTTTCCAGCTCTGGACTCTTTCTTCAATCCCATTTTCCACCCAGCTGCCCTAATGCCTTCCACAAAGGCAGAAACAGACTACGAGAGACTGTCGGATGAGTCAGTATGGCCATACTTGCTTTAGGCTTCAGTACGAACAAAGTGGGTTTTCTGTTTGCAGGTAAGGAAAAAACTGATTTCCTTTCAAGATATTCTAGAACCTTCCTAAGAAGTGATCCTGTGACTTGCACAATATTCCAGGGGCTGGCTTTCCTGAGTGAGTAAGTTCAAAGCAGCCTTTGGGGAGCTGCCTGAAGAGCCCTCCAAGGTGATCAAAGGGGCTCTTCCTGTGACCTACCACAAGAGAACAAGACGCACACAGTCAGTATGCATAAAACCTGTTGTCCCTTGGAGACATGTGTGCCTGCTGTGGACCTGGGGACATATCCAGTGGAAGAAATTTGTTGCCAGGCAGCTTTCACAGATATCAGAAGCCATTACATACACGCTGTCACATACACACGGGGAAGGGGTGTTTTCCACGGGGAATGGAAAGTCTTCATGTGTCCTCTTCTTCACTGGCACCACTACAAAAGAAAAGGAAAAGCAGGTGAGTTCAATACCAACCACAGCAAGGGAGGCAACACAATATATAGGTTGACAATCTCGTGCTACTCCTAACTACCACGATCGAGCAGTAGGGACACAGGCAAGTGCCTCAGTTTCTTTGATTTCTGAATCTAAATTTAACTACAGTGATCATAAAAATTAAAAACTTACGATCTTGGGTTGTGAACGGATCAAATAAGAACACATGTAAAATACACGGTACCCAGTATACAGTGAGTAAGTAAAGGAGCAGGAGGCCTCATCAGACTTAGAATTTTAATGAGCAAAATAAACTGCTGGTAGACACCAGGAGTTTGAGTTCCTCTAGGTGTTAGGCCACCTATTATTAGGTCAGAAAAACAAGCAGTAGCAATTACTGGCACTCTGCACTGGGTAGAGCCAAGGTCTCACCCATGCAGCAGAGTCAGTCTCCAGGAAGTACTCTACCTCATCAGGACACTAGATCACTCTCTGCGTACCTTCCTTGCCCTTATCACATTCTCCAGTTCGGTATTTATTCTCATCCCTTCTCCTGAAGTATGTAAGGGTAGCATTAATACTATTTTACCAATGTCTACACATCTAGAAGTTGTACAATAAACACACAGGTGCTCAACAAACACTGACTTCCAAAGACAACAGAAAGAAAGGGTGGGAGGAACAGACAGGGTTGAAAAGAATAGCCACAGGCAGTACTGATGTAACCAGAGGATTCCAGTGTCAGTGTTTCAGGGCCAAACACAAGTGTATAGGCCCAAGGCTATAGCTACTACTTCCGATGCTCAGAGTTCAGCATCATGGTCCTGGGAAAGAAAGGCAGCAGGTCTGAGCACACTTACAGAAAGGCCAAAGCAGCAAACCTGCCCAGGCACTCCTCAGCCACTTCTAGAGGTCACCGACTCAAACACAGACAAGAAACAATTTGATCTCCCTCCTGCTTACTGGACCTGAACACAGAAATACCATGACCTGGAACTTGGCTGTTTACTTAATCCTTCTATCACTCCTCACTCCAATCCCAGGATATTGGAATTATTATTTTCTCACTGCCCAGATGAAGAAAGTGAAGCTCTTTGAGACGTAAGAACCTAGAGTCCTTTGAGATCAAGGTTTAATTTTGGCTGGAAGGCTAACATTTCAAGCTGGTAGAGACAGAAATGGTTTGTAGTGTGTTAGCTCCCAGCTGTGACCTAGAAAAGTTCTCAGAAAGGATTATCTTCGTCTATATAAATCTGCGTTCTTTGTTTCTACCTGGGGGAACAGTCAAGATAAAATAATCTAGCAGTGGGGTTCTAGTACTTCCAAGGTACAAACACTTAGGACACGGGCCTACAGAGTAAGGAGTATACACTCTAAAAGCCAGAAGAGCCAATTCAGTAATGTGTCACATTCAGAATTCCGCCATCCTCTTTTCCTACTGGTTGTCCAGTCATGGGATAAAGGGTGCATGTAGGCAGGGCTGACCAGAGGACTGCCATTAGAGCAGTATTTGGTGGCATCTGTCCCAAAGGGAACAAAGGGTCTTTTATGAATTGATTGTAGCCAAAATCAAAGCAAGATCAAACTGGCGCTATACTCTCCCCTCGGTATATATTCAAGCAAGCTCTTTTCGTTTCTGTCCGTCTCGCTTCTAATGAAGAGGACTGAGGGTGACTGTACCCTTTCCTTAAGCTCAGGTCACTGTTTAGCGTTCTTGAGATAAAGCGTTCATGAACCTACTGAAATCGTATTCACAGTTTTGTCTGTGTGTCCCTTTGTGTGAGAAAGGTCATGATTTTCATCATAGTCTCAAAGAGGTCAGCAACTCCAACCCCAAACTGAGAATATCAAATCATACACAATTTCTTTTCGAGTTTTGTTTTGTTTTTTTTTTCCAAGAGGGGGAGGCAGTTTGAGACAGGGTTTCTTTGTATCGCCCTGGCTGTCCTGGAACTATGTAGACCAGGCTAGCCTTGAACTCAGAGGTCTTCCTGCTTCTGTCTCCTGAGTACTGGAATTAAAGGCATGTGTTCAGGTTTTTTACTATAAAACTATATAAAACTTGGAGTAGCTCAGGGAAAAGGTCAGAGGTATTGACTGACAAAATCTATTCTCATTACCCTAAGAGAGATCTGTTCCGGGGCCTGAAAGATAAAATTATTTCACTGTTTAGAGCATGAGACCCTGTGACTTTGACATATCATTTATTGATTTCCTCAATTGCTAAATATTTATTGATTGTCTAATGTGTAGTAGGCTGGATGTCAGGACTAGAATAAGAAAGAAGGGCACAGTAGTCACCCACACAGATGTCACAGCTTTGGGGGCTGGGGAGATAGCTTGTTTTGTTTTGTCTTTAAAGAAAAAAGAAAGCATATTTTCATAGAACAACCTATTTATCATGATAATTCAAAAAAGATCTTAATGAAATGTGTAGCACAGGCTACCCCAGCTGGTATATGGTCTCTTCTGGTGGGTTACCCATAACTTTCATCTGTGACAGGCATCTCCTCTCCTCTCCATTCTGCTCTCATTTATTACATGAGCCAGCATATGCTCATACAATCTTATCTGAAATGCCTTAAAAATCTCCATCTTCTCCAAGTGAAGCAGCACAGTCTTCCTCTTCGGTACCTATCTGCTTCTGCAGAAACACCTACTTGTTACACAGGGATCTACAATTGAACTGGGGATTGCAGAAGGTGTCTGTTGAATGTATCAATTTCTAGTGAAAGAGGGGATTAGGCAGACAGCCATGCTATCCATTCCACTGAGGTCCTTAAGGAGGGGGCAGCATTATATAATGACCCTGAGGTCATGAGACTGAGAAGGTTTAAATTCTTAGGAAATCTCAACTTCCTCATGGTAGTGCTATATCTTACAGTGACTCTATCTTACAGTGTTATAGTCAGAGCTTTAGATACATATGATACAAGGAGTTGGACCCTTCCTTTTAAAAATCAAAAATCAAATTTGCCTTCTTCTTACCTTCCCTCAATACCTTTGTTTTGGCATCTGAAACTATTATATTCTAGATTAAACATGCTATCTCAATTTCCTTCAGATATCTGAAATGAAACAGGTTCTTTTTTTTTTTTTAAATGTGTATGTGGGGTGTGTGTCTCTGTGTATGTTTCTGTGTGATCATATGGAGGCCAGAGGTTGATGATGGGTGTCTACCTCTATAAATCTTCACTTTATTTTTGAGACTGTCTTACACTGAACCCAAAGCTTACCATTTGAACTAGAATAAATGTCAGCAAGTCTGTGGCATCTGCCTGTCACCACTCTTCCCCTAGTACTTGGGCGATAGACATGAAATGACAACATGCAGTTGTTAATGTGAGCTCTGAGTTTCTAAATTTAGGTTCCCATGCATTTGCTGGTCCCCATGCACTGAACCATCTCCCTAGCCCTATCTTTTTATTGAATGAAAACTTCAAAGCTAAGGAGATACAGGGATTGGACAGAAAGTTTCATGGTTCTGACCATTCTAAGGAGGTTTCTAGAAAAATTTTCCCTTGTCAATGCTGGTAATAGCAGGGCACTGAGTACTGTGGATTAGTCAGGAGGCTTCTACTCACTGACTGGTCTGGATTGAAGACACTGTATTTAGAAACAGCAGTCTTAAAGCTATAGTACATATTCCCTGGTTGTATGTAATGACTTTCTAGGATGACTTGGACATGGGTAATCTTTTTTTTTTTTTTTTTTTTTTTTTTTTTTTTTTTTTTTTTTTTTTTTTAATTTATTTTAATTTATTTTGCAATACAATTCAGTTCTACATATCGGTCACGGATTCCCTTGTTCTCCCCCCTCCCGTCCCCCTCACCTTCCCCCCAACGCCCCCCCCCCCCCATTCCCATCTCCTCCAGGGCAAAGCCTTCCCCACAGACTGAGGTCAACCTGGTAGACTCAGTCCAGGTAGGTCTAGTCCCCTCCTCCCAGGCCGAGCCAAACAATCCTGCATAGGCCCCAGGTTTCAAACAGCCAACTCATGCAATGAGCACAAGATCTGGTCCCACTGCCTGGATGCCTCCCAAACAGATCAAGCCAATCAACTGTCTCACCCATTCAGAGGGCCTGATCCAGTGTGGACCCCTCAGCCATTGGTTCATAGTTCATGTGTTTCCATTCATTTGGCTATTTGTCCCTGTGCTTTATCCAACCTTGGTCTCAACAATTCTCGCTCATATAAACCCTCCTCATTCTCGTTAATTGGACTCCCAGAGATCCACCCAGGGCCTAGTCATGGATCTCTGCATCCAGATCCCTCAGTAGTTGGATGAGGTTTCTAGCACAACAATTAGGGTGTTTGGCCATCCCATCACCAGAGTAGGTCAGTTCGGGCGGACATGGGTAATCTTAAGGAGAACATTTACAAGTCTTTAATTTCTACATATCTTCTTTCCTAAAAGTGATCACCTAAAGAACATGGGGTATAAGTTTTCTTTGTAGCCAGGTCCACTTTCAAAATCTTCTCACTCCCACTTCAGAAAAGATATGCACACTTTTCTTCATACTGCATTGTATATGCAAAGACTTTAAAGAGATTCCATGAAAGCAGGGTGAGAAATAGTAAGACATTATTCTCTATTTCATCTACACAAGGTAATATGCTTATCTATATGTTTCACTAAAATCTAAACTCAGAAGACAACTGTAAGTTGTATTAGTATGTTTATTTGAATTGAATATAAATAAAATCAGATATAACAGAAAGTGAGTGTGATTTGGCTGGCTAGTTTGGGTATAAGAAAATGATCTGCCAATTAGATTATATAGTAAATCTCGTCTGTAAATTTAATAAGTTTGTGATGCCAGTTTTGACAAAAATATACACAAAATGAGATGAAAACTACAAGATGTGAGCAGTTATATCCTTTCTAATTATCTAAATCTGACCCAAAACTTAAGGAATTAACTTAAAGGTGGGCAAGGAGGTACACACTTTTTCCTATATTCTTTTAAGAAATATAAAACCACAAAGTTTAACTAA